TTACACTGTCCTTGACACAGACTGAATGGCATAAAAAGTGAATACACTTACCCTCTGGGAAAATCTTTGATTGAAAGCCAGATCCAAACATGAATCTTTCTAAGTTATTCACAGCCTTGTTTATGTTAAGTGACAAAACAAAACCCACATGATTTAATTAACTACTTACTGACATAACTGACAGCATCAACGGGAGAATTTTCAGGATTTGACTTTTCAATTTAAAGATGATAGATATATCACTTGGGGTTAAATAAAAAATAAATCAAAAAAGGTAAAAGGAATGACGATAAGTCAAGTTAAATTAATTTAGCACTTTTAAATATATGAACACAGTTTTTTGGTGATGGATGAACTATTTAATGACATTGACAAATTCACATATGTAGCATTTAGGTATGGATGGGGGAGATTTTGAAAATAAATCTGATAATTGAAAAAAGAGAAAAACAGTTTGCATTTTCAAAGAAAATAAAGATAAAAGTGGCTGGGCCATGGTTAAAAATTAATAAGATGCAAAAGATTATTTGTAGATATTAATATCACAAGTAGTTTCTTAAACCTGCATTGGAGAAACATTTTTGAATTGAGTATAAAAAAAGCAGTGCAGTAAAGAAACTGTGTGCAAACATTGATTGCCTTTTAAAAAACGTTGAGAAAAGATACTGTTAGCAGGAAAACAAACATTTGTGAACCAAGGAATCCACCAAGAATTGTCATAACTTTGCCTGATCCAAGATCACTTTTGAACATCTGCATACCAGCAAATGTTATCAATGTTAATACAGATGCCACAAAGAAGGATGTACTTGTTGGAAGTGCTAGAATGCAATAGAAAATAAGCTTAAATGTGGCATTTTTCATAGCTAAACAGTTGTTTCATTAAACATGTGCAATAGAGTTCTTAAGTGATAACATCACAAAAATATATTTCTAAAATCTTTGAATTAGACCCCATAACCTGAAATAGTGTCATGAAATACCTCCAAGTATGCAAAACTAGTCTAAGATATTGCCACTGTTTGCACAGAGCCTAAAAAAGTAAACTGCTAGCAAACTTCAAATCTTTTATTGCCCATATCTCACCCAATTTTGATAAAATGTATTCTGATTTAGCATATTGCGAAGTTTCCAATGGCATTCATTCAAGTTATGTGATCAAAACTCACAACCCCTTTAACATGACACCACAGTTATGAAATCTATTGAATAAGCATGCTTTCATTAATTTGATGCATTTTATTATGTTATATTATATTGTATTGTATTGTATCGTATTTTTTGCTAACTAGTGGCAGTTTCTGAAGGTAGTTTCAAGGCACTGGAAAGCCAATGCTAATTCAGCAGTGTCCTGCCTGGTCCTTCCTCTCAATGAGATCACACCTCTAGATTCCTAAACCTGGAATAACAGAGAGATGGTGACTCTTCTCACTCTGAGGGAAAAATTGATCATGTCTGGGACTCAACCCTAAAATTCTTGGATCTGAAGTCAGTGACCCTAACATCTAAGCCATCCTCGCACCATGGTTCATGGAATGCAAGCAACAAGCAGCAAGAATAAAATCACTAGAATTGCAGGTGATTACTTTTTATTTCATATAAACAAAGCACATGTTTCTAGCCTTCATAACTCGATTAATGTTTTGTGTGGCAAAATAACATGAGAATTTATAGGTCCTTTCTGGCACTAAAATCATTTGTGATTTATCAACCCATTTTTATTCATATTTTGATTGTGTGTGGCTGAGGATGTTAAGCATATTTTAGAGTTTTCATCCTTCTCTTTAGGTTCAGCCTGTTTTTTGGGTATTCAGTCTTTAAGAAAAGGCAAAAGTAATTCAAGATTAGGGTTTGGGTCTTTCAAATTGTGACTGCATGCCAGCTGCAAGCGCTTCAATAAAAGTTAAGTGTAGATAATATGGCTGATATTTTTCAAGGGCATGATAATATTGTGCCAGGCCATTCATCTGACAGTATTTGAAATCAAAGGATAGTGGCCCAGTTGCTTGGCTGCTCAGCCACACAACTGCCTATTTGCAGAGAAGAAAAAATTGATAAAATTGGCTGTTCAAGTTCAACTATTTTAATTTAAGCTCGTGAAAAACACACAAAAATTCAACTAAGTTGTGCAAAAAATTTCTGGTTGATTGTTTGGGTATGGTCCGTCCGGGCATACTTTCAAGTTTGGGGACGTGAGAGTGAGATGAAGTTTTCCACACTTTGTGTAGCACTGTATTTCAAAAGACTAAATGTACTTTACGTAGATATACAAAAAGTTAATTTTGAGCGAATTTACAAAATTTCTCGTCAATTTACATCTAAATAATACATCTTGAGGCTAATAAAGATTGTATATGGCAAATTATCCAGGGTTCATTCCATGTCAACTGTGAACTGTACGCCGAAGGTCCACCGGGACATTTGTTTAGGTCCGGCGAAAATATAAAAGCAGTTAGTAAAACTGTAAACATTATTGCGCCAGACAAAGAAAACTGATTTTTAGAGAAAACTGTGGAGTGTGATTCTTTATTTTACGTAAACTATGTACATGGCTTCATATTTATTCATATTTACAAAAAATTTTAATCGTTTGCACGCAGACCGCCGAAAAAAACCTGGTTGCACGCTGAAGATCTTCGGGCCTAAGTACATGGAATGCACAGTGGCGTAGCTAGCGGTCATGCTTGTCATGCCGGGCATGACCATCTATTTCCAGAGAAAACATTTTTCAAAAAAATTTATTTTCGTAAGAATAAAGTCCTATTCTCCTTATGTAATAGCTCAGGTCATTCGCCTTTGGAGCCCTATGGTTCCACGCAAGAGTATGGAGCCCTCCGAAGGCGCTCTTCTATTGTCGGGCATGACTAAAACAGAGGGTTTCCAATTTAGTCATGCCCATAACTATGAGCATGACCAAACCCTGTGTTTTAGTCATGCCCATAACGCTGGTTCCCTATGTTTGGTCATGCCTAACAATAGGAGTGACGCAGGAGAGAACAAAGGCTAGTCATGCCATTTCGAGAGGGCATGACCATCATTATAATCATCAGAACCGTCCTTTTTTTATTTCGTGAACGCGAATGCGAGGCATCGATGGCGGCGCTGTGCCTAGATCCACGAGCTGGGAGATAATTCTCTGTAAGTAAAATGCAAGCAAAAGCTTTTTGCCAAGCAGCCACGACTCGTGTTATTCTCCAGAGCATTTATGGCAATGGCAGGATTTTTCAGCCTGAATGGTGTTGCACTATATGGGGAAGTGAAAGGCACGAAAGGCCCTTTTCGACATAAAATCAGCGAGCAGGATCATTTTATGCAACCAAACCAAACTCTCAGCCTTTTCAGTAATCAATTGTTACGAGTTGAACATTTGCAGAGAATCTTCTTGATTTGATGAATGCCAAATCTTAGTGCTGTTCACTGGAGATGGATGGAGGAGATAGCAGTGTTATTTTCCAAACCAACAGATTTAAGAGCTTGAACTTTCCAGACATTTAGCAGCATATTCAGAAACTGTTAAGCCCTTTGAGCATTGTTACTATATTATGATTAGGACAATAAAGTTTTAGTTAATGGATAGGGAATACCAAAAATTTCTTTATTATTGTTTTTTATGTATTTGAAAATTTACAAGATCAAATTATTTCTTTTAAAACCCTTGGTTGCTTGATTTAGTAAGGACAATCCAATCATGTGGATATTTCCCACAAGTATACATCAATGTTTTTGTTAAGCTAAACTTATTTTGCAAGGTATTTTTCTATCTTTGCAAAAAGTCTAACTTTGCAAAAAAAAATTTGCAACTAGGCCTATCCATTATTTTAGCTTCCTATATTTCATATCAAAATTTACATTGCATATTCCTTTGCCCGTTTGTTTTATTCATCTATCAGTTCTATTGAGGCTGTTAGTTAATCACGATGGCTTTAAAATACCTTCAATAGATTGATAATAAGACTATTTGTGGAAAAGATGACCAAAAAGCTCCCATTCAGTTTCATGTGATTTATTGTTTCATTTACAAATTTTAGCTTATCTCTAAACTTTACAAATGTATTTCAGCCTGCAAATTGAAAGAAATTAGGAGAATAACACAATTATTTGTTTAAGCTGAGTTTATATACTATACTAAATTAATGTTTTTAATGTCTTTTGTTTCGAAATTGTCAGAACTCTGTCTGTATAAATTACCAACAAACCAAAACAGTGTCACAGCTATAAGATACAAAAGTCATTTCATGGTGTAACAAGATGATTCATATATAATAAGAAAAGCTCATTCCAAAGGTTCATCAAAACATTTTTTTTAAGTTATAAGCCTTAAAATTAAAGTTTCCAAAAGGAACTCATCAACTCAAAAATTGGGCGTGGCAGAATTTGGCCACACCCATATTTTTTCAAATTTGAGGAGAGGGCATGACCACTGCTATTTGGCTAGCTACGCCACTGGGAATGCACCCTGGCAAATTATAAAAAGATGTGCCAAGACACTACAGTTCCAATTAGATATAAAGTGCAATTATACCAGCATCTATTCATATTCTTTAGACGATTTTGTAACATTACAAGTTGCGCTGTTCGGCTCGACAAAACTAACAGCCAGGTTTCAAACTTGTACCAATTTGCTTGAGACTACAGCATAATAAAGCCCATTCTGCTACAAGAGAACAATCGTAATTCAGATAATGTTTTTCAAATACATTTTCACCTACATACCCATTATCAGAGTCTGTGCTTTTTTGAAGTCTCTTAAACACACTTATTAGCTCCAGGTAAGCTTCTTTCTATGACCCGAAGAGGACACGTAAAAGAAAGACATCATTTTCTAACTGCCTCATATCGGTGAGTGCCTCGCAAACAACAAGAAAACAACGTGGTCTCCTCTCTTTGCTTTTGACTCTGAAACAAAATGGCTAATGTCGATGTGATTAGCGACGAGAGTCGAAATATAGAGAAAAAGAAAAAGAAGAAGGACAAGTCGATAATCCAAGAAGATGATGGAAGTATTGGGCAATCCCAGCTTGATACAGATTTTCTCATAAAACCCACTTCTCTTGCTGCAAAGTTGGATACATCCAATTGGCCTCTTCTGCTCAAGAACTATGACAAGCTCAATGTGAGAACGGGCCATTACACCCCTTTACCATGTGGTAGCTCACCGCTTAAGAGGGAACTAAAAGACTACGTTTCAGGAGGATTCATAAATTTAGACAAGCCTGCAAATCCGTCTTCTCATGAAGTTGTTGCTTGGATAAAGAGAATCTTGCGAGTTCAAAAAACAGGGCATAGTGGTACCCTTGATCCTAAAGTAACCGGATGCTTGATTGTGTGCATTGATAGAGCAACAAGGCTGGTCAAATCACAGCAAGGTGCAGGAAAGGAATATGTGTGTGTTGTAAGGCTTCATGGAGCAATTGAAAGTGAAAGTAAGCTTGCTAAGGCACTGGAAATGCTCACAGGAGCCATGTTTCAAAGGCCGCCACTTATCTCTGCAGTAAAACGACAGCTTCGTGTAAGAACTATTTATGAAAGTAAGCTTCTTGAATATGATGCAGAGAAGCATCTTGGGGTGTTTTGGATTAGCTGTGAGGCAGGGACTTACGTGCGAACTCTTTGTGTCCATATAGGACTACTCCTTGGAGTTGGAGCTCACATGCAAGAGTTAAGAAGAGTTCGATCAGGCATCCAATCAGAAAATGAAGGCATCGTTACAATGCATGATGTTCTTGATGCACAATGGTTATATGACAATGCAAAAGACGAGTCTTATTTAAGGAGGGTCATAAAACCGTTAGAGGCACTCCTTGTGTCACACAAGCGTTTAGTCATCAAGGACAGTGCTGTCAATGCAATTTGTTATGGTGCTAAACTTATGCTACCAGGTATCTTGAGATATGAAAATGGGATTGAAATCAATGATGAAGTAGTGATGATGACTACAAAAGGAGAAGCTATCGCAACTGGCGTAGCACTGATGACAACAGCAACTATTGCAACATGTGACCATGGTGTTGTTGCTAAAATCAAAAGAGTTATTATGGAGAGGGACACCTATCCTAGAAAATGGGGCTTAGGACCAAAAGCTTCAAAGAAAAAGGAGCTGATTGCATCAGGTAAGCTTGACAAGCATGGTAAACCCAATGAAAAAACACCAAGTGATTGGAAGGACTACAAAGAATTTGGACATATAAGTGGAGAGAAATTGTTAGAGCAAGCATTAAAGAAGAAAGAGGGAAAAGCTTCAGAATCTACAAAGAGGAAGCACAAAAGTAGTAGCAGCAGCGAAGATGAGGCAAAGGTGAAGATAGATTTGAAAAAGGTAAAGACAGCGGGAGGAGACAGCCAGGAAGGAAATGAAGAGAGTGCTAAAGTTGAGAAGAAGAAGAAAAAGAAGAAGTCAAAGGAAGAAGACAAGGAAGAGAAGGAAGAGGCTATAGAAGAATCAAAGAAAGAAAAGAAGAAGAAAAAGAGCAAGGATGATTCAATCATAAAAGAAGATCAGGCAGTGAATGGAGAAGATAATGATGAAGAGAAAAAGAAGAAGAAGAAAAAGAAGAAAGACAAAGGTGAAGAATAACCTTGATTTTTGTGTAACATGAACTATAAAACTTTCAAGTCTACATGGGTAGATATTTTGCTAATGGCTAATCAAATGGTGTTCTTTTTATATTTTATGCATCTTTGAAGTATTTTACATGTAATCTGAAACTATAGCCTGTTACATTGGTAAAATAAATCAAGCCAATTTCATATAATTTTTTGTGTTGTCTTTCCCAAATGTCATTTTGGCAATCTCAGTTCTTGGCCATTTCAAACCACCCTTATGTTAGAGTTATAATCTATAAAAATGGCTCGTAGAATAATTATGAATCAAAGGGAATCAATTGTTGTTTGCAGCATTCAATGACGATTGTGAAGAGCTAGTATAGAAGGAGAGGGGACTGTCAAATCTCAAATCAATATTGCAGTCTTTATAAATAATTTTGATTTTTTAGTAGTTTTCATCCATTGATCAGCTCAAATTTTTATCAAGTCCAATTTTATCACTAAAAGTTACCTTGTTTCTTTTGTGCTGCACTGGAAATTTTGACCTGGTGAATTTGACAGGAAGAGTCGTTTTGCTTGATGTTCTAGCAAAGAAGGGGAGAGGGGCCAGGGGTCTAACAAATTAACATCTTCTGGCTAAGAGATCTTTACACAGACCCCAAACCTTTGGTCTAGATGTTTTTAGACTTCATCAAAGGTTGGATGGATAAATTTTTAATTTCATACTGCAGAAGCAGTTTTAGAAACCTTGAATGGAACTTTGTGATTTATTCTCTGAAAGCTTTGATTCTGATAATCAAGAAAAAATGAAAGTGATTATAACTGATAGCCTAAATAGCATTCGATAATCTTTTTATGAGACAGATAATGAATGGAAAGTTGATCTTTTGTTCCAGTTTGATTTTACTTCAATCAGTGGTGGCTCCAAGGGGGGTATGGGGGTAATAACACCCCACTTTTCTCCTAGGAGCAAAATCTGCAAAATCCTTCACAAGCATTTCAGTATATATCTAGTTTTTTTGACGATTCAAGCATTTCAGCATTCTATTATCTATTTGATTGGGAAATCCTTATGAAAAAGAACAGAAATTGAAAAACATTCGAACAGGGACTGGCGAAGCTCCCCTTTGAGGGAAGCGAGCCAAACGTTTTAGGCCGTTTTGCATCTTTCTAAGCATTAGGGGATGGCCGCCCCTGAACAACAGCGAAACTAAGTTAGATCCTTCAAAAAAAGTAGTAAACGAATAAATGAAAATTATTAAAAATCAAAATGGAGGGGCTGAGTGTCGAATTTGACGTAGAGGTTGGTGGTTCGGTATAGACTTCACTGTAGTAAGTCTCGAACCACCGTAGATCCAAGCTTCGGTCTCTGTGGAAAGACCTCTACGCCAACGGCTCAGCTATTCGTTAAGGAACAATTCTCCTATTTATTATTAAAAAAATGATGAAATATTGAGTCATTTCCAATTCACTCCATCATTCATTGCAACAATTTTTCGATAACCGCTATTGTTTTGTTGTTCATCCGTTTTTAATCCTTCTTTTTTTCACCTATTATTCCTTTTTTCCGTTCATATATTGATGAAGAGAATTGTATTTAGTTAACATTTGTTATAACTTTTTCCTTCACAGTATTTTGGAATAATCTGTATGTCTATGTAGAGTAAATTTTAGGCCACGGTTTCCGTAGATTCAAGCAAGGCCGCTGAGTGTGATGCAAGGGGGATTTTCCCTGGGCCTAGTAATCTAGAAGGCCTGATAAAGTAATCACTTCCATTTCAAATGAAACTAATTAAAACTAACAAAATTTTGCTGTATAATATAAAAGAAAATCAAACGAATTAATGAACTTTAGTTTTTCTAAAGGGCGTGACCGCAAAAATTTCTTCTCCCTTCGCTCGCAGGGGGCCTCGTCTTTTAGTTTGTCCAATATAAATGCAGCTTTCAACTAAAAGACCAGTTATTTGACTAATTTTTACCGATTAACTATAGGTTACCGACGGCATCTACCAAAAGGTGGATGTAACATACGCATTTATAAAATTTTCTTATTTTGTTGTGGATGATCTTGGCTTTAAAGTTTGACAATAACTTAGCTTGGGGTTTTCAGTCCTTTTGACAATTTTTTCTTTTCTAGTGTCATTATTTTTCTATTCTTCATAATTCTTCATAATGCCAGAAATAGTTTTTCATTTCTAGCTCAATTTTCTGGGTCATTGGTGTGTTTTCCCTGTTTTCTGTTACGATATTCGTATACATGAAAGTTTCAGATGAGTGTTTGTTATTTTAAAAGAAAAACCTCTTTCATTAGATCATATTTACAAGAAGCTACCTTAGTCAACGTAAAATCTTTGGTCAGGAATGTAAAGAAAGCAACACAAATTCTTCGAAAAAATCCTCTTCCATGACAGAAGTTAAGATACAAATTTATCATTACCCTTGCATGTTGTAGTTGGTAGCAGCACTCAGGATAACAAACATACATATACCAAAAGAAATGCTAATCAAATTAAGAGCACAATTACAATTAGAAAACAGTCATGTCTTCTTCACAGATACTTTTTAAGGAGGATCTGCTAGAACAATGCGACTCTTCTCTCTTCAGTAATTCTACAGGACCCCTTAAATGCTCTGTATCTAAGACAGACGATGACCAACTATCAGCCATTTGTAATGAAGTCGTTAGATCGCAACTGCGCCCATCTTGGCTACGTGTAACCGCCTTTGCCGATTCAGCCAATTTTTGTTCTGATTTTCTTTTTGCAAAGTCGCTGATAACAGTAGCAGAATTTGATGACGTTAACTTGTTGTAAGACTTCGATTTATCGGCCTTAGCGTCTGCTTTGGCTACCGGAAAACTCTGTCGTCTCCTTTGAACATTGCTTGAACAGACAGGTTTTAGGTCGTGCAGATCTGTACATGGACTTGGACAGCTGCTTCTGCGAGACCATTCTTTGAGGTGTGGTAGGTTACTGTGGCTTGAGCAGTTGTGCAAGTGCCTCAGCTCTGGATTCTCAATTAGACAGAGAGGTGCAAATCCGCGCGGAGTGCTTTTAACTCGCTTCAGATGGGGAAACACGTCGAGGCTCTCCGTTCGGCCAATGCGACGCAAGATGTTCTCTGGAAGACTGATTTTTCTAGTCGACGAAGAACAAGGTTTCTGACTCTCTGGCAAACTAGAATGGGTTGAGCAGACTTCCACCAACTCATGCCTACAAGATTCATCAGATGGAATTATCCATTTGACTTCTTTGAAATTGATGCAGTAGCAAAAATTGAAAATAGGGAGAAAGGGAACACACTTGTTGCCCCAAAATTCTTTATTTTTCGTATTTGCGTGCCATCAGTTTGATCAAAGATACCCTGAGTACCAGAGACTAGGAAATTTTGGGATTACCACTTAGGGATGACTGCCATGCGGCCAACAAATTAAAATGAACAACAAAATAAAGCAACTTCTAGAAAGAACAATCAACAAAAAGCACTTCGGAGCAATACTGTAGAGAAAAATAGGAAACTTCCATAAATTTGAACGAAAACTTAGAATTCAGAATTTCTCACCCAGGAATTCGGCCAAATTTCAAGCCTGACAATGATGAAAGGGTGTGGCACCCCATAAATAGGTATGTCCTGGGTAAAACTGAAGCGTGAAATTGCGTTTTACTAACTGATATTGTAGGCAACGATCTATGAATGATATATTATAGAAATGTCTGACTTAATATATCACTTAAAGACAGGTCTGAGGCTGTCTTAAAGAGAATCACAGTACTCCTAAACTACATTTTCTCCTTCAAACCCTTGTTGGTAGAGGGGAGACAAGCGAGAGAAGGAAACTAATGGTCTACAGCTAAAAATATATACAATAACAAAACATGTTATGCATAATTGAAAAAGAGAACATTGAACAATCGATAACCTCAATCCTGGCTTTATCGATGGGGAGTTGTCTGCTTCAGAACTTTTGCTGCCAGTCAACCTTGGTTCTTGCAATGACGGGCTGTCTTCTTGGCTTTCCAGTGCAGGCTCATTCGGTTCTTCACGACTATCTACGAAACAATAAATTGATTGTTATCAAAATTGTAATCAAGAGAAAGACTTTTTACTAGCTAATAAAGGAGCAACGAACATTGACAAGAAATACTATTATATGCAAAATTTTGCATAGATGTTCCTGAATTTCGTGGACCACGACACTCCGCTTCTCTTTGTTCGCGTGGCTCTTGCTAGAGAGATGGTCTAAACTGCTAGCGGTCAGAAATATGCAAGCATATTACAATGTCCCAGCGCTGCTTGTTTTCCATTTTTTAGGAATTACGCTTATTTTAACTCTAATCTTATCGAATCCGAGGCTCTCCTAACAGAGATTTTTTAGAATACATGATTTCATATTGAAAAATATCATATGAATTATGCTTTGCTAAATTATGTTATGGTATATACTTTATTGTAATAAGTTATAAAATACAGATCAAAGCATCATTTAATGTGCTGTTAAGTTGGCACCTTGAAACTTCAGTGAGCAAACTTTACTTTCGAAGGTGCACTGTGAGAGAATGTGCTCGTAAGGCAAAATGCTTGAGCGAATTGGTTTGAAACTGAATTCAAAAAAACCTTGTGTATTTTATCTATTAAAGGAACTACACGGCGAATGGGAAAGAATATCTACAGTGGACACACTGAAGTAAAGATATATAAACTTCTATAGGCCTTTAAGTACATGGGGGTGGGGGCTTAAACCATTCCATCTTTGCACAAATGTTATTAATGTTGTTTGCATCAAAATAATGAATATTCAAGATACCTTGATGATAAAAAAAATCTTCTAAGATTAGCAGGATCATGATTGCTACTGTTATTAAGAGGACTCGTGCCCCTCCCAAAATTATAAAAAGCCATGTGTTTCCAATGAGCAATACCTTATGTTCCAATTTTTCTGAAACAAGAGTGCCTTTCCAATATGTCTATCCTTCCTGCGTCACTGAACATAAGTCGCTATCAATCTAACATGTTTTTGCAGCATCTGATTATTTGGATCTTTGAAACTCAATTAATCAATATGTAATTTAGAACTGTTAAGCTTGTTTAGCTCAGCTGAAATTCTAAATAACATTTCTTCATGCTTTCACGATTCTTAAACAGACAGGTTCATGAAACCTAATGGTTTTTGCGGATCTTGATTTATGTCAATGTCATGATTATTTCGAATGGTAGCACGGAGTTCCTTATAAATTCAATCTCTGCTTACCTGTCGCCATCTTTGAAACCATCCGATATGCGACTTTATATCCACGCTACTGGCTAGCTACACTGTTTCAAACTAACTGCAAGATCACATGACGTCATAAGTGATTTGCAGACACCAATTGATGTGGCGTTAAATGAGAATGATATTTCTCGGAAAGCAATCATTGTCCCAAAATGTTTCTAGTGTCCCAAAAGTGCTTATAAAAGATAAAAGTTACTTGTTCATTTTGTTTTTGGTTCTCATTCTTTTGGGAAACATCTTTATTTACAAAACGTAATCAAGGTGTGCCGATTGAATCTGCTTCGCACCCTACTCAAAGTATATCCATTTCACAGTAAAGAATGAAGGAGGAAACACTGCTGAAACCGAAGTTTTGTTAACACAAGCGACCCCTTGATCTGAGCAAATCAATAAGGCAGGAACATTTTCAAGATTTCACGACACAGATCATAGCTAGACATGAAACGGTCAACTCTAAAGCACATTAAATTAGAAATAGAAGATGGAAATGGAAGACTCAAGGCTAAATATTTGCATTTTACTTCATGTCGTTTCTAAATCTAGCATACGTAATTTTGGCGGGCAGATAAAAAGGGATAATATTTTTTTTTCTCTCGTTATTTAAAGTTGGTACAATGTCAAGCTACATTAAAGCTAATTAAAATCAACTAATTTAATCTACCATTGCATAATATCAGTCATACATAATATGAGCATTTTTTAATGTAGAATATTTCATCCATAAAAGGTGGATTTAAACCGTTAAATGTTTTATTTATTCCTATTGCAAGATATTATAAATTTCTCTTTATTAAAATTGCTATTCTCAATGCCCTTTCATGAATCTTGTTTATCCGGCTATCTGTTCCTTCAGTGAAAAATCCGAATAAGAGGACAACAATTAAAATATGATAAAAAAATGTTTTCATTAAAAGTTTTAATTTAAATTCATCCGTTGTCTGGGTTCATAATTTTGGGGGGCCTATTGGAGATGAGGGCTTAAAAGAGATGGGGGCTGAATAGAGCTTTTACGGAAAGTTCAAAAAGTTGAAGTCTGTAGCTAAAATTGGTTGTTTGCTCTCAACTGAAAGTTATTAAAACACGTGATAGTGAAAACAAAATAAAATCACACATTTTGTGAATTGATTTATACCGTTGAAATCTTTATCGACCCTCGATCTTTGGAAGGAGGCTCTTTTATGATGAACTCACACAGAAATGGAAAGAAACAGACTTTCAGACAGGAACAAAAACTCCATTGTATTTAAAATCATTTGATGAATCCCCACCTGTACCACTGTTGCTAAAACACGGTCTACAACATTTTTTCTATAAATTGCTAAAAATGTCAGGGGTAGAAGTATGTCAAATTTTTCCTGATTTATCTGTGGAATATAATTTTAGCGTAACACTGAAAGAATGCAAATGGATGTTGTCTTGAAAAATTTTCAATTTATACACTCCCCCCCCCCCACTATCCAATAGCTGCCATCTCAACAACTTTCTGTCAAGATTCCCCTAGAAAGCAATTCTGTTCCTAAAAATTATTTCTTTCTCTTAACTTTGTACTCTTTGAGCAAGTCCATAAGATTGCCTGTTGTGACGTCACTGTTTTTTCTTTTACTAGTGTTCGATGTCCGTTTCTCTTTTTGAAGCTGTAGGAATGGCGAGTTGATAACCTCTGCCGGCAATCTGGTATCACTCTCTTCAAACAATTCAGCCAAGCTATGGAAGATGTTTTTGTTATCATTGTTAATAAAGGAAATCGCAAAGCCTTTCGTATCAAGTCTTCCAGCTCTTCCTACTTGGTGAATATATTCATTTACGGTGGTCGGCATGTCAAAATTTATGACCTAGGATGAAAGAGAAGAGAATCACGTGTACGTTTCAAACACATAATATAGTCAGTAGCAGGGGTGCCATTGAGAGGGGGAGGCAAATAAAGAGAGATTTTTGGGGGACTCAACCCCCCTGGCAAGGGCCAGTATGTTTGGTTGCGTAAATTCCTAACTTGGTATTATTCAACTAGTGTCGCCTGTTTTGCCTGTAGTAAACTAATTAAGTTGTGTTTTAATGTTTGCGACAGTACTGTTGTCTGTTGCCTTGCCATCAACATTCTATGTTACTGCATCATCCCATCGCCACTATTGTTTGTCATGTGGTATCCTTGATGTACCCTTGTTCGTCAATTCAGTCGGGTTAAAGTTGTCGTTACGTTGAGTCGTGTTAAAGTTGTCGTTACGTTGAGTCGTGTTAAAGTTGCCCATACGCGAAGTCGTTATTGTGGAGTCGCCGACAATTTGTAGTATCAGGTTTTAATAGATCGTCGTTTTCGATAGTTTATTGCCATCGTTTCGAAAGATTTTCTAGTATAAGTTTTACCGCCAATAAGATATCTGATCACTGGCAAAATCGAAGAAGATTATGACATATTTGGTTTCTCTTGTCTGTCCACCCTACCCTGTAAAACAGTGTAGTTTTACATCGGCATGGTGAATTAAGCTATGGATTTGACATGAATGAGTAATTTCTATCAACCCTTTAGAGTCGGTGAATAGTTTGAGTGATTTCATATACACAACAGAAAATCTTTAGCACAAATGCAAGTATTACGGGTGTGACCAGGGGTATGGTATTGGATGTGGCTTCGATAGCACAGCCCCCTTCCTAACCTTTTTGGGAAAGCACCACTGGTCACTAGGTAAACGAAATCGTCCCTTTGAGCAGGCATATTTCAACATAAAATGAACTGGGCAAGACAATATCAAATAATTCCATAATACCAATTATAACTATTAACGGTATCAATGTATGTAAAAATTAATTACAAAAACTTTTGAATCCAGATTTAACAAAAATTGTGATATTGATAGGAACTCATTCACTCATTCATTACTTAAGAAAATAACAACAGAATAAGGGTCCAAAAGAACAAGATGGAAAAAATATACCCAGTTGTGGATCGAAATAGGCCAATGAGAAAAACGCGAGCACATGACCGGTATAGTTGTCCAATCAGTACCGTGTGCCTAATAGGAAACTGCTACTAGTGTCCAAGAGAAAAAATAACTTCTTTTGCCTACACAATAGCAACTTTTTCTTTTTGTATGTAAATCGATTCCAAAACTTCTAGAGGGAAGTGCAATTCAAGGCCCTTGCTGGAGCCCCTCAATAACTGTCAAACTGTACTTTATTTCCTTTATATGGTGTACTGAATGAGAAGCAATACAATGGACAGCCTCCCAGTATGAATTTCGTTCCGACGACACTGCAATTATCTGAAACATATCGTCATTATAGATTTGGGCACCATCTGGGCTATATAACAGATGTTGTCCTATTGCAGAATCACTTGTTTTAGCGTTGTTTTCAGATCTACAAGATCGAGGAGGCTGTTCCCTTTGAGGGTCAGTTGTGTTCCTTATGTTGTAAGGAACATAATCCTACCCACCAATCTTTGAAATTTCTGACAATGGTAATGACAACAAAGCTGATTCTTGTGAGGTCACCGATTCTTTTTAAAATAAGCAAGGCTATAGGCTTACAGAAATCATATACATTTTAGAAAATTGCACTACTGCCAAATCGCCAAGCAGGATCGAAACAGTGAGTGGATGTTTTATTCAACGTGTTCATTTGCCCAGCTGCCCAACTACCAACTACCAAAAACTACATATTAACTACCAAAATTTACAACTCGTTCTAGACCCATTTAAATGGACTCTACTGTTGATATTAATTGGCACAAAGAACATCTTATGAAAATGCTTATGAAAAAATAATTACCATCATCACGTTGATTAAATCGATTCCTCTTCCTAGCACAGAAGTTGACACTAATGCCTGGTAGCTCCCATTTTGAAAATCTTGCAATACTTGGGTTCGGGCTACTTGCGATTTGTCTCCATGCAATGAGGCACATGAGATCCTACACACCTGAAATAATAGTCAATTTATTGAAAACTTTCTTTCTGCAAAACCTTAGAATATTATGTTAAACAAAATATCTTATTTGATGTGTAAAAAACATTTCACGAGTTGGAGCAAATACATTTCTTAAACAAAAATGAATTTGAGGCTTTGAGTTGGACACAAAAAAGAAAGCACAAAAATATGCTCACAAATAGGCAATTCAGACTAGTTTGATCAAGCTTAATGTATAAATAGTGTGAGCAACAAACTTGCTAATTGTCTAAGATTCAGAACGATGTTTACTAAATGAATATAATTTATAATTGTCAATAATTGGATGGATCAGGTGAGAATACATGGTACTCCATACACATTAGAGATAATATGGATATATTTTAGAAAAAGATGTATCGCTCCTTAATAATGTATTGTGTTTCATCAGAGGTAGTAAAATCCTACCAATTTCAGTGAAACAGAGAGCCAGCCAAAACAGACACCTGCTTATAATGCACAATATCTTTGGTCCCATGATGCCCACTTATAGAGGTTAACTTTATCAAAGAAAGTACTCAATTCAATATAGACAAAGCTGTACACACTCTGAGTTCCAATATAGAACTGTCCTGCTCTACACATCAAAGCAAGGTTTAACTGAATATGAAGAAGTTGCTTATACCTTATTAATGGCATCTGCCAACAAATCAGCTCCAATTTTCGAATCAACAAAAATAAGTACTGGGGGTATAAAATACTTTTTGTCTTGTAAAAGGTCAAACAGCCTTTTCTTCTTTGATCTTTCTTCAACCCAAAGCATAATTTGTTTCACTGATCTATTTGGTGTACTTGGTGGTCCCACTGATACAAATATAGGATCATGAAGCAACTTTGATGCAATCCTCTCAATCGAAGAAGGGATTGTAGCAGAAAACATCATCTTCTGTGATTTTTGAGGGACTTTTTCAAGAATTTTATCTACCTAAAAGACAAAAGGTAATCTTAACTACTTGCAAAACTTGAAATGTTTATTTGGTAATGAGCAACTGGCTTGTGAATGCTTTTTATAAGCAAAGGTCTTCAGCAAAACTTTATATAGCTCAACATACGATTACTGACTTACTTCTAAAAATAAGCAAAATAAGCTTTACAAAGGTAAAAATACATGCAGACTACAGATCCACGACTAAGCATATGACAGCTTTAACTATACAAGTGTGCTTTAAACTTTTTTGTTGCAACTTTAGATTTCATTCCAATTTGATGATGTGTATTGACTTGTCCAAAATGAATTTATCAGATTTTATCTATTATTGGCCTTTGAAACTATCATTTAATAATGTTCAAATTCTGGAAATCTAACTTAAAGTTGTTAGTAAATAGTGCAAAAATGCCTTTGATGAAGAAAAATTTCTAACCTGCATCTGGAAACCCATTTGCAGCATTGTATCAACTTCATCTAAGACCATAATCTGGACCGTCGTGAGGTCACAATGATCCTCATGTTTTTCTAGAATGTCATTCAATCTGCCAGGTGTTGCAATAAGGATCTGCACGCCTTGTTCAAGTCTGTGTAGCTGATTTGGCAATGGGTTTCCTCCAATCAACAAAGCTGTTTTCAGATTTTTGAGTCCTTTGCATAGCAACTTTGCCTGCTCTTCAATCTGCATACACAATTCTCTGGTTGGTGCCAATATCAAACCAAGAGGCACCTGATAACTGCAGTGACCTTAAGGGTTAATCTCAGAGTTACAACTTAAAATATAAACTCAAATAATTTATTCTCCACCCTCAGCCCCCCTCCCCACCCATCAATACTAAAGTTCATATAAATGACTGACAGTAAATATATCTGTCCCTCTATTTCTAACAAATACTGATCTGTTCAACAGTAATCAATACAAATAAAAATACAAATCAAGAAGCTTTAAAGTTTGAGGCTACTGGCACAAGAAAAAAACATGGTTAATGCTTGTCTTTGACAATTATATGCTGCTGCTAAAGCAGAGAAAAGCAGATTTTGTGGCTTTTCAATGCATATATAGCTGTTTTATAGGACTTTAATTACCTGTTGTGGCTGAGATTCTTGCTATTAAAGGCAAAAGAAAACTTGCAGATTTCCCTGTCCCTGTCTCTGCACAAGCTAGAAGGTCTCTTTTGCATAATCCAATTGGCACAGCTTGCATCTGAACTGGAGTTGGTGTGAGATACCCATTATCTACCAAATTTTTTTCTAAACTTTCAGGCAAATTGAAATGCTTAAATTCTAGTCCTGGTTTAGGAATATTGTGTCCTTGTGTTTTGATTTCAAGTTTTTTTTTAAAAAATTCAAGCTGTTCAAATGAAAGCCCTTTGACAAAAGGATGTTCTCTGTAATTGTAATTCTCATTGAAATAAGAACTTAGATTTGTTGAGTTCAAAACAGAACCTTCTACTGAAACTACCGGTTTGCCCGAGCCTCCTGAACTGACTACGGGTATTTCTATTGATGGACCATTTTGCAGTTCACTAGCATTTTTTCTATTACTGTATGTAGCTAGTCGCTCATTTATGTTTCTTTCTAAATGCTTCTTTTTGCATTCGATGCTGCACACATCTTTGTCCGTCCTGTCACAGATATAGGCGCCGTATCTGCCGCATATAACACAAACTGGCTCTCCTGGTTCGGGCCATCTTTGTTTCTTGCTCTCTTCAACAACCTCACCCTCCTCCTCATCTGAAGTGAGAACATTTTCTACGTTTTGAAAACCCTCACCAAAGCCTGCCTTTTGCGCTCGTTCGGAGTGCTGACCAGAAATTTCCCCTCCACCTTCACACTTGATAGCAAATAGGGCACCATCTGGTATTTTTGTGGCTATTGAGATATTACTAATAGTCTTTGCATCCTGCGAGCGTTGCTTTTTCGAAGAATTTTTGGCTACAGAAACTGTTCTGGGGACAAACATGTTTATGGATAAAACAACAGCCACGAACTTCCGTTTTTTTCTGATTTCTTACTGAATTGGATGTGCCTCGTTTCGGGATAAACTTTTTAGTCTATTTCCGCATCTCGAGGCGAAGATAAACATGTGCACGTCTATCTCGAGACGAAAGCGCTGATCGGTGGACGAAGGACAGAAATGTAAATATGTTGCTATTGCTTGCCTTGTTTCTGTTTTGTTTTCCCAACTGGGCGGAGATTGAAAGAAAAGATGGGGGGGAGATCATAAATTAAAAATTCAAGCTAGGGCAAAAAGTAGCAATAAAAGTGTGACCTAAAGAAAATTTCCAGATTTGCCCGACAGATACACTGGCAGCCATAAAGTGACCCAACAAAATTTGCTTTTTGAACTATGCCATCACGAAGTTTATATACGCAAGGCCAATGCACATTTGCACGCTTGTTGCTTTAACCGTATAAAAGACACAATGTATTGCTTACTCGAGCACTGGTATTGTTGCATGAATTTCTGTAATTTATATTGTTTTCTGCAATACCCCCTTAAAACTACTACTTAAAGAACTGGTGGGACTACTATACCACCTAGATGAGTTCGAACGGGTAAACAAGCGAGATGCACAGAATCTGTATCGCCCAGAATCTTTTTAACACAAAGTATACTGAAATATCCCCCGGATTATTTGTGGTTCCTTGTTTGGAATCTTCGTCGAAGAACATTAATTGCGGTGTTATATTTCAGTGCTGTCTCTCAGAAACCATGGAAAAGGAAGGTGGAAATAAGAAGAATATAGGGTCCTGCAAGATGAGCCACAGGTATGGTTACTTGGTAGCTTCGGCGATAATATTGGGGGCCTTTTCGCTGGTGTTATTTGCCACTTGTGCAGTTGTGATATTCACAATGAAATTGGAGTTTGAAGATAGGCTTCAGAAGATCGAGACTTCTCTGAAAAACAGAGAAGAGCAACTCGACCAGCAGTTGTTGAAAAAGGCAATTTTAATCGGTAAGCAAATCATCTAGTCCTCCAGTTTCTTTAATTAAGTTGAGTTAGGCCTTATATACTTACAGACTTTTGCACATTATTAGCCTTTGATATTGATGACAAAAATGGCGGTTATTCGTTAGGCTACTCAAAAGACTGGACACGGTAATGGACAGATAATATTTATCAACTTTATACTACTGTCCCCTATATATTTCTTAACGACACAAGTCTTTCAAACGTTAATGCCCCTAAATGTCGGGGTTGGCAACTCATATGACAAAATAAACACAGAATGTTCGCAGAAAGCTGTTTTGTCCCTTGTTCACGCGACGAAGACAAGCCGAGACTTGTCCCGAGAAAGACTGGCGGTAATCGGCCTACACTCGGTTCCTAGTGAGAGGCTTATCTCAGAATAAGCCGTCAATCTCTGAATCTTTTGTTGGTTTTAGTGCTGGTCGTATATTTTAAAAGTTTCTTAAATAGGAAAAACGCTAAAAAGATATATTTAGAACACGAAAACGTAGTCAGGGGCAAAACTTCGCTATTTTCATTAGAGAGGTGTGAAGCTTAGATGCGATGAAAGGGTGTGTCATGTCTGAACATAATCTTTAGGGCACATCGCCTCAAGGGTTGAAGATATCCGGGACCCCGACAGATGGTCACTAATCATGTTAGGCCCTCAGACTCAGGTTGTTTTTCAAAGTCAAAAAAATATGCCTCTAGTTTTCTGGTGTCGGCTATAAACATTTGTTTCCCGAAAACAAGTATTTTAAAGGCTTGTTTTTCTATGTATAAAAGAAAAGTAGTCTTCACTTTCTAACTCTCATAGCAATAACGAGAGCAATTTAAAAAAGAGATTGAAGTAGGGTCTCAATTTTATCACAGTGGAATAGCAAAACGCAGCTTGGAATTTTTGGAATATAGAAACAGCTACGCAGACTACAATGTTTCAAGAAAAAAGAGCTTCAGTTTTATGTTCTGAGTTTGATTTTCGGTTGCTCCGTAAGGAAATGAAACACTTTTAGACACCCAAGCACAAAATAAGTATCTCTGAATTCACCATAACAAAATCCCTCAAACTTGTGCAAAGAAAAGCTTTTTTATTGGATATATTTTACCGGTACACCTATCATCAAAGCTCAATTTTCGTGTTTTCGTAATCACGAAGTTATTTTTCGTTTTCGTGGTTATTGTTCAGAAATAGAAGAAACTCGAAAGTTTTTTGCAATTCATATCTTAATCACAATTCCTTGATAAATTTTCTATTATTTCCCGCTTGAACTGTCGGCTTAAAACTTTCCGTTACTTGTTACAGCTATTTGAATATTTTTAGTTAAAGAGCTTCGGTCATTTTTTGGCTAAGGATGCAATACTTTCGGGCCGTAAGTGTAAAACCTTAAGGGAATTTCGGGGCATAACTCCTTGTGAATGTATGATGAAAGTTTCATACATTTAGAAAATAAAGTGTTCCTTGATTTTTCTCAACAACGTATTCCGAGATGGCATATCTTTCATGCTTTGATTTACTCTGCTTCCAAAATCGAGGGGCAAATCACTCCAAGAAAATCTCGTACACCTTTTGTGAAAATCCTATTGTTTAATCTGAAAATCCTCAGAAATCCTCTTGTTTTAGGGAAAATCTCGTGCGCTATTTACGAGAATGAATTGCCCCTCATCTAAAATGGTCAATGTTTCATGGGCTCCGACGCAGGATGGAAAGCGGGTGGGGCGGCGGGTCAAGAGAAAATTTAGCAATTATAACAAAAGATTTTGAAAAAAGGTCTATGTTTTACAAAAAGTGGGGGGGGGGTGCCCTGTGTCCGTTTCCTTCTTGCATCAAACACACTTTGCTTTCCGTCTATACTTTCGCCATCGATCAATACTTCAGTCTCTATTTCCGCATCTCGAAGCGAAGATAAACATGTGCATGTCGAGCTTGAGACGAAAGACAGAAATGTAATTATGTTGCTGTTGCTTGCCCGTTTCTGTTTTGTTTTCCCAACTAGGCGGAGATTGAACAAAATATGGGGGAAAAGTAGCAATAAAAGACCATAAATTCAAAAACCAAGCCGGGGCAAAAGTAGCAATAAAAGTGCGACCTAAACAAATTTTCCAGATTTGCCCGACCAATATACTGGCAGCCATAAATTTGCCTGACAAAACCTTCTTTTTTTTAAGATTGGGGGGGGGGTGCAGCACCCTCCCATACCCCCCAGCAGTTTCGCCCCTGAACATAGTACGAGATAACATGAAAATTAACATTCTTTCTATTTATGTATGTGAATTAAGTAGGAAATAGGTGACATTGTCGAAAAGTGTCATTTCCATCCCATCTCGAAATAATGATTTTTGAGCAATTTCTCAGTTTCATGGTTTCCTTATTATTTTGTGGCAAATCTTTTAGATTTCTTGATGGCAGTAGATATACTGGTGAAAAAGAATTCCTTGTAGCTCTAGCTTCTAGCACACTCACAATAGAACAAACCATTGAAATTAACTGTTTCCCAATGATCTGTGCTGGGCCCAGTTTTGTTCAATTTCTGTATAAATGATTAATTTCTTTTCATAAGACAAGAAACTCTTCACGTTATATTTACGCTGATGACGTACGACAGTGTATTGGAAGTTGGTTCAAGAGTACTCCACGTCATCAATTAGTTCCGCGCTAGTTATAGAGCACAAATGGATAGATAGATTCCACTTTAGTCCATTCAAACGACGAGTGAAATATTGTTGAATTTAGTGTCGTTATGATTGGCCAGTAGTTTTGCAGGATGAGTTCCTAACCGCCAAAACCTATTTCAAAGCCTTCCATTCTTATTGCAGCGATGCAAGAAAAAACCAAACTTAGGCATCGCAGAGATGCTCTGACTGGTGTCCATAAACAATTAGAATCTACTCTTCAAAGAGCTACAGCATTAAACAAATTATTGGCCTCGTTTCAAACAAAACAAGGCGGCAAGTTGGATACATCCAACTTTTGCTTGATCAACAAAACAGTGATTTGCAAAGACATAATCCGTGGAAAAAGAGGCAAAGCTGGGCCAAGGGGCCAAAAAGGTACTACTGGGCCACAAGGTCCACCTGGTCTACCAGGCTTGAGAGGAGATCGAGGCGAACGTGGACTTCCTGGACCCCCTGGACCACCAGGTATCCCAGGGCCTCATCCATCAGAACCACATATTGTGACTCCTTTGACAAATTTAGAAGCTTTCGAGGGTTCAGCTGTCATTTTCACCTGTAAAGCAAATGGTTATCCGAAGCCAAAGATCACGTGGAAAATTAATAACAAATTGTTGAATAGCACTGAAGATGAGTACGTGTTTCCAAGTGAATATTCGATGAAGATTAAACAAATCAGACGAGTGGATCATGGGACTGTTAAGTGCACCGCAAGAAATGCCTTAGGGGTTCAAAGCAGCACTGCAGATGTGAAAGTGTTCTGTAAGCATAACCATTAAATCTACCTTGTCTCGGTTACTCAAGTAATTTGAGTTTTGAGAATGGCGAATGCCGCCTTTCGATATTTATTCTATAGAATTTTAATAGTTATTGTAGGAAATCAGATGTTCTGATTTTTGAAATGGAAATAGGAACATTTATTCAGTGGCGGCGCCAGCCACTGGGCTTTATGGGGGATAAAGCAAACACTTTTGGGCCACGCCCATTTTCCCACTAGAAAACGCCCTTTTAACAACAAGTACGGCCAATTTTACTTGGAGGGAAGGCCCATGACTACATTTTGGTTACGTAAAGGCAGTTTCAAAACCATAGGATTACATCACAAAAAGCATATTGCCAAAATTTTACCCCTCCCCCCAAAATTTTCTCATCGGATTTAGACGAAATACTGTAAAATAACGTTTTTTTTAAAGCCAAGATTCTTCAACAGGGTAGTATAAATTAGTGGCAACCAACAAATGCAAAATAACAACTTCGTTCAACGACAACTTCGACTCGACTTGACTTGCACTGAAAGAACATACGCTTTTAGCAACATGAGTGATGCACACAAAACCCTAATGACACAAATTAACGGCAAATGGACTAATAACAACTAAAATAGAGATGGCACGATGACAAACAAAATGACTGACGCAAACATCGAAAGACATTCTCATTAACAAAGTTAGTTGTATAACAATACAAAATGGATCCTGCCGATAACTGGGGAGGGGGGGGGGAGTTCTGTGCTAGTCAAAAGTCCTAAATTCAGCCACCGTACCACCTCCCTCTCCTTCAAGGAAGTTCTTTTTCTGCCATTTTTCTAACGTGATAGTGGCCAGGCTAACTGGAGTTTAAAGAAAGGCAAATTCTCCCTCCTATATCATTTGCAAATTTAATAGCTGACGTCGGAAATCAGATATTCTGACTTTTGAAAAGGAAATATGAATGCCTTTTGAAACTGTGCAAGCCAAAAGGCCTAATTTCGGCCACTGTACCTCTTCCCCTCTCTCTAGGGGCAGATTGGTTCTTTTCCTGCCCTTTTTTCCAGGCTACGTTAGTTTTGGTTTTTATATTGACTAGTAGTTCCTATGTTTATATTTAATTGTCTGTTTCATATTTCAAAGGTATCATTTAGTTAAAAGTTTCTCTACTGAAATTTCTTCATTTCATTCGATTTTATTCCAGTTTTGCCGGTTGTAACGATTCGCAAACGTGTGCCAATATCAGGAGTGATTGTTGCAGACTGCATAGCTAGGGGTCTACCTCGGCCAACTATTTCATGGACAGGACCTCAAGGCAGGAGGGTCTCCATTCTTTCTTTCCTTTTAAAGAGCAGTACGTTGGAAAGTGGTGTATATAAATGCATTGCTCGCAATCGTGTTGGAACAGCATCGAAATCTCTTACAGTAATTGTACGACGTAAGGCACATTATTTTCTAAATACGCTGAATTATCTTATATTATTTTCACAACTTTTACTTTTACCACATTCAAGAAAATATCGGGATTGCTTCTTTCATTTGCAACACGTCCTTGTTGAGAGAGAAACGTGTGTGAATGGCAAAAACTGTTATCAACTCTAAGCTTTGCAATTTATAAAGTGTGCAATCACAAGAAAAGGCAATATGCTCTTTGCTGAGAATGTCACACAAGGCTGACAATTTCTTTCTCCTAATCCTCCCATATCCATTCTCAAGACCAGCTCAAGACCAAGTACACGACCGAACGCCAAGTGAAAACACGAACAGTTACATGACCATTAAAACGACCAGTTACAGGACCAAGTACACGTCTGAGTGCACTAGAAACAACACAAAAAATTAAATGAACATTTACACGACCAAGTACTCAACGGAATGCACTAGTGAAAACACGGTCAGTTAGATCACCAGTTTCATGACCTTCCAAACTGTCCATTTTACACTTTTGCGACCCTTTGATTAGAAATCAAGTATTATACAATTTCCCGAGATCAAGATCAAGTTCCCGAGGAACAGCAAGGAAGGTATAAGGTCCAGAGTCTGATAAGAACCTGTAAGGACAGAAAGTTGTGGAAATCCATGGTCGCCTACGTCCACAAGGCACATGGTACTTAGATAGATAGATAGATTATACAATGCTTAAACTGGTCTAATTGCTACGCTGGTCACTATTCCAATTAAACAAACACTTATGACGTCACTATAACGCAAACTGTTCACGTGACACTAAATTTGATCAAAGATTCGTAAAGCATGCCCTTGAAATACCTTAGTAACTGCTTTGAATGTTGCATTTGATAACAAATTGAAAAAGTTGCCTTCGAACAATCCTTGCCAAAATTGTTGGAACACTTGTGCAAAGCTGAAGCTTTTTTGAAAAATCCCCCCCCTATCCCCCCCTCCCCATTACAATGTTGTTCAATTGCGCTGTTTTGATCCTGAAGGTAAAAATTTCTTCACTGAAAGCTGTATGAAAGTATTGAGAAAATAAATCAACATTGTACGGGGGGAGGGGGTCGAAATTTTTGAAGCGGCAATGATATTTTGGTTAGGTAGTTTAAGACTTGCTTTGTCTATTTTGTTATGCAATAAGTTTTATGTTTTATTTAGTTTCGTGATATTCAGTTGCCTGTTCTTTTGATGTTCTTGATAGTTCCGTTGTTTGTCACCTTGCCATCAACATTCCGTGTTATTGCATCATTCCATCGCCACTATTGTTGTCATCAGTCCTTTGTTGTTTGAAGTAATTATTTTGTTATCCTAATTAAGGTGTGTTGTCATGTGATTTTTATGCAGTGCCCTTGTTTGTGAATTCAGTCGTTATGTGAAGCCGTGGAGTTGAGTCGAGTCGTATCGTTCAGTCGAAGTCGCTTATATTCGCATTTAAAGTTGCCTTTAAATGAAAGTCGTTTAGTTATTGGAAGCTTCGTTGAAACCGCAGTCGTTTGATAATCAAAGAAAACTTTTGTATATATTTTGCTGTCCTTCTTTCGTCTACGTTCATCTGTAAAACCATATAGTTTTACAATTTGCATGCTGCAATGGGAAGGTGTTCCAGTTATTTTTGGCAAGGATTGTAGTTACATGACCAGCTACATTACCAAATGCTCTAGTAAAAACGCGATCAGCTACATGACCAGTTGCACGACCAGTTGCACGACCAGTTGCATGACCAATTGCACTAGTGAAATCATAACGAGATACATGACCAGTTACACGACCAGTTACAAGACCAAGTACACGACCGAATGCATTAGTGAAAACACGACCAGTTAGATGACCCTTCACATGACCAGCTATACGACCGAATGCGCAAGTGAAAACGCGAAAATAACAAAATCAACAGAATGATGGCGTTCCTCAAAAATCCAAACCATGGAAAGGAAAATTTCTAGAGTAATGAGTCATACTTACCAGAAAGCTCAATAAAGCCCAGGGGGGAGGCTTATTTATTTTTTAAGTCGAAGCCCCCTCGGCTTAAAATAGATGGGGCTTAGAAGACAATGGGGCTTATTGGTAAAAAAGGTTCTACAAATGTTCTCAAAAACTATGCTGGCAGCTTCGAGATTTTCTAAATATTTATCAGTTACAATGTCTTCATCTTCATCAGAGTCACAAGGATCATTGATAGCCCTGGGGCATCTTCTAAACAATTTTTGACTGAATTCTAAGGCGCCCAAGTAGGTCTTTACACGGGCCGTATTTAATGCACATGATCTCATAATCATCACACCCGTCAAGAGACCCAATCAGTGCGCATGTTTTCTTTGTTTGATATCAAGGGCGAGGTTTGGGCGCAGCATTTTTCTTTCTTCTGATTCCAATTGGTTTGTAGTGCATCGTTTTCTTTAGAATTTTGTTAATATTTATGTCCATGTCCTTTCATTGTATACACATAATTAATACTGTTTCATTTGCCTAATTGCACTGCAGATTAGCTCAATTTCTATGGAAACAATTCACCTTGTAACTTCATTGATTGTATTATTTGGAATAGTTTTTGTGAAATGAAATTGAGAGGAGAAACGAAAGATATAATTATGGATTTAATCTCTCAAGCTGTGAGCTCGTCCCTTTTATTTTATGCATAGAGACGTACTAACAGTGTTTATACTTTTTTCTCACTGCCATTACATGCCATTGACCTTTTGACAGCCATGTTTTTTCCTGGCTCGGTATTTTTCTGCTCTTTACAGATATAAATAAGTACATCATGCCAAAAGACGGGACCCGATACATAAAAAAGTCATGGCCTGATGCACGAAGGCACTGTTTATCACTTGGCGGAGATCTTGTCAGCTTTAATGAAGATGAACAAAAAGATGTCCTTGCTTTCTATAACGAAACCCGTTCGGACTACTATACATGGATTGGACTGAATGATAGAGAAACAGAAGGAGAATTCGTTTGGAGCGATGGCAAAAAGTTTAAATTTTCATACTGGAGTGCCCGTGAACCAAATGGTGGAAGAAATGAAAACTGCGTCCATCTTTATCCATTTGGGACGCAACTTAAGGCGAATGACAGATCATGCTGGCAACCGGGCTATTTTATATGCAAGCTACAAGAAACGAAAGTAATAACATGAGTCGTGACAACTCTTTGAGGTACTACATGTAAACACAGTTTCCTTTTACGTAAATTATCATAATATATAACACGTGAAATTAAAGGTAATGTGTCCAGCTTAAAGGTAATGTGTCCAGCTATAGCAAGCGACTCTGCGGGGGTTTTTAGAAACATGTGATTTTTCATGTCATCGCCCCAGTCATTATGGTCGTTCTGTTTATTTATCCTGCTGCGAAGTTAGCTTTTCATGTGAGCAGTTTTGCATCGCAAGAATACTAGCCAATCGCAAACCGTTATTTTGATGGGTGGCTTGACAAGTTGGGTATACGCAGTCCTTTTATATGGACACATTACCTTTAAGGTGGAAGTTGGGAAACGTGTCAAGGAGGGGCAGCTCAAAAATTAAAGCAGATCTCAGTGTAATTCACAGTTTATCAGCCCTAAACTGCAACCCCCCCAAGTCTATTAGAGAATCTCCCCGAATTAGATGTTTTCTGCCGTCTTCCAATCAAGGCCAATTAATTAAAGGTTTCCTAAACTTTGAGTTACAACAAATTCAAGAAAACATCAATTTCATCACTTTTGCTGTTATTTAGATTTTTCCTATTCTAGCAGAAGTTCTATTGCCATGATTATATTTTCAGAAATGTTAGCGGAAACTTTCATTTTTTGCCACACTGTAGCTTCAAAGCAAATCTGCTACTGAGGAGGGCACGAACTAATCAGAAATGAACCCAGTTTCCACTAAGCAAAAACAACGCTGGCGTTCTTTCTATCTTGATAATTGTTCGCTAAATGAAATAGTTGATAAAATTATACATAATTAATTAACGAGGTCTAAATGTAATGCAACTAAATGAAAATAACAACTTGAAGAAAAAAGCAACATAAACGATTACAGGTTAACCAAATTAATTTCAACTTACTATTTATTTGACCTCGTAGCATAGCATTATCTAAGCAACAGGCTAAATACTAGGCCGAAAACGGTATCTAAATTGCTTGCAACGGTAACTCGCACGTACTAATATCGATGTTGTTCTCTCTTCTTACTGGGTAAAACACGCCCAAAGCTTATATAGGGCTATAATGCAAATCCTCGAAGACACGCTTATAACGAGAAGAAATGTCACGTGTCCCCGAGGACATGCCTAAACAATGCTAAAAGTTTCTAATAATAGCAGGGTCAAAAGTCCAAAATAGTTCTACTGAAAAACAACAACAAGTAAATAAGATTAAAAACAATCTGTTTTCTACATTCCCGCGCCCAAACAGGAAATTATAGAGACTGTTTTATTTCTGCCATTGATCCTGAATCTTCGACAGATGCCTCCAACAAACACAGTTTTGTTATAGGTCTTCGAAATTCCGAATTCAATGTCTTCACCTTTGCTGATCTCACCAGGCCATCTCTCCCAGCATAGATTTCAACTATCCTCCCTAAAGGCCACTGATTTCTATGCTGTGATTGATCCATAACCACTACCAAATCATTTTCCTTTAGGTTACGCTCAATTGAATGCCATTTCTGTCTTGTTTGCAGTGTAGGTAAGTATTCCTTTGTCCATCGTCTCCAAAATATGTCAGTCATGTATTGGACCTGCTTCCATCGTCTGGTACTGTAATGCTCTTTACCTTTGAAAACACCAGGAGGAAATTGTTGGCTAGATCTTAGAAGCAGCAAATGATTTGGTGTGATTGCATTCAAATCCTGAGGATCATCTGATACCTTGGTGAGTGGTCTCGCATTAAGTATCGCTTCAACTTCACATAGAAGTGTATGCAAACCTTCATCGTCGACCGTCTGATTTCTCAAAATCGCATTCAAAACACGCCTCACTGATCTTATTGCTCGTTCCCATACACCACCCATATGCGAAGCTGTTGGAGGGTTGAATATCCACTTGATGTCTTTCTGAAGAAGAAATTTGTGCACCTGGTTCTGATTCCATTGTTGAATTGCAGTTCTGAGTTCTCTTTCACCACTTCTGAAGTTTGGGCCATTGTCACACCTTATTTGCTCGGGACGTCCTCGTCTTGAAATGAACCTTCGTAAAGCATTTATAAATGAATCTGTATCCATACTGAAAACAATTTCGATGTGAATTGCTCTTATAGTGAGACAAGTGAATATAACTCCATACCTCTTTACCATGCACCTTCCTCTTTTGACCAGGTAGGGACCAAAACAGTCTATTCCAACGAATGAAAAAGGTGGTTTATCTGGTGTCACTCTATCTTCTGGCAAATCAGCCATTTTCTGCTTTCCCAAATTTCCGCATCGACGTTTGCAATCAAAACAACCTCTAATTATTCGTCGCACTGATATCCTTGCCTGAATGATCCAAAATCTTTCGCGTATACAGGCAAGGACATACTCTTGACCAAAATGTCCAGATCGCAGGTGAAAATGTCGTATAATAAGATCACTTACATGATGTTGCTTGGGAAGAATAATCTGATGCTTTGCTTCATAACTGTTAAACGGAGCATTGCTAAGTCGGCCACCTACACTCATAACACCATTAATTATGACTGGATCTAATCTGCGAAGCGAACTTGATCTTCTTACTGATTTCTGGGGTGACTGCAGTAACTTCAAGTCTTCAGTAAAACATTCATTTTGTACACATTTCACTATTGCACATTCGGCGTCACGCAACTCTTCTGTACTCAGTCTGTAACTCTTGATTCCACTTTGTGTCTCATTGATACTTCTAATGTTCTGCAGTAACCAGTTCTTATATCTCAATAACCAAGCTACAGATTTCTTTAGAATGGTCCAATCAGAGAACTTCAAGAAAATCTGATTTGTCATACCTTTTGATGAGTTGATTTGCACTGAATTTGTTAGTACAACCTTTCTGACTTCGACGTCATCTTCAGTCAAATCTTCAATAAACACGCCCTTTGGCCACTCATTCTCTTCCTTTTGCAGAAATTTTGGGCCATATAACCATGTACGACTATTTATTAAACCGTCAGCACTGAGACCTCTGGATGCATCATCTGCTGGATTTAAACTTGTATCAACATATCGCCATTGAGATGGACTGGACCCATCGTGTATCACTGCAATTCTGTTCCCAACATATGTATGAAATCTTCTGCTTTCATTCGCTATATAGCGTAATACAGCAGTGCTATCTGTCCAAAATACCGACTCACCTAGTTTCATGTCCAATTCACGTTTGAGCATGCTATCCAACTTTACAGAAAGTGTTGCAGCAGTCAGCTCTAGCCTTGGGATTGTAATTCGTTTCAGGGGGGTTAGTCTTGACTTCGCAATAACAAATGAACACGAAACTTCACCATCTTTGTTTACAGATCGCAGGTACGTTGCCACTCCATATCCAATTTCGGAGGCATCACTGAAATGATGCAGCTGATTTTTGACTGAATTGCTGATTCCTGAATTTGAATAACATCTTTTCACTTCAATGCGCTCCAATTTTGTTAGATCTTGCAACCAATTTTGCCATTCCTCGAGATTGCGACCAGTTACTTGCTCGTCCCAGCCTACATTTTCCATGCATAAACGCTGAAGAATTGTCTTTGCTGTCAAGATGAATGGCGAAATAAACCCAAGTGGATCATAAACAGATGTAATAATACTTAACATTCCTCTTCTGGTTCTTGATTTATCTTTCATACTGATATTAAATGTGAAAGCATCTGTTTCTACATTCCACTGCAACCCAAGAGCTCTTTCAGTCGGGAGCTTGTCAGCCTCGAGATGAACATTTTTTAGTTCCTTTGATCTTTCATTTTCTGGTATTGCATCTATGACCTCTCGACAGTTGCTCATCCATTTTGTCAGATGGAATCCTCCTCTCGCCAGCAAATCGGTGAGCTGTTTTTGCATTATGATTGCTTTATTTGCATCCTTTGTAGCTTTGAGAAGATCATCCACATAAAAGTTTCGTTGCACTGTCTGAATCACTTCATCGTTGTAAAATCTGGAGTTATCTTCAGCAACTCTTCGCAAGGCAAACGTCGCACAGCTTGGAGACCATACCCCTCCAAATATGTGTACCATCATCTGATATTCCACAGGTTCCATCTTCAAATTGCCTCGTGGATACCATAGAAATCTCAATGCACTAACGTCATCAGAAGTCACACGTACTTGATGAAACATTGCTTCAACGTCCGCCATGAGGGCAATGGGTTCACCTCTAAATCTGCATAAGACACCAATGAGTGAGTTTGTCAAGTCAGGACCTTGAAGAACATTTTCATTCAAAGAAACATTCTTGTACTTTGCAGCACAGTCGAACACAATTCTGACTTTGTCTGGTTTCTTCGCATGCTTCACGCTATGGTGTGGCAGGTACCATAATTTGCCGTTGCTCACTTCTATTTCTGCTTCTGGAACTTGTCTGGCGTAATCCTTTTCAAGTAAATCGTCAATGAAATTGCTATATCGCTGTTTTAGATCTGGATCTCTTTCCAGCCGACATCTCAAGTATTCCAGCCTTTTCTGTGCCATTGGTCGATTATTTGGTAGATTTGGAGGATTGTGCTTCCACGGAATTGCAATATGGTAATGGCCTTCGTGTAAACATACAGAATTCTCAAATACAGCAAGAGCTCTGGAATCTTCTACAGACATCATTTTCTTGTTATCAACAATTGACTCTTCAAACTCTTGATTGAAGTACTTCTTCAACTGATCATAAAGATGATTATCAGAGGAAACAGTATTGGAATGAAAGCAATGATTACCTTGTTTGGAAGAAACACCAATGGGTCCATTAAATGTCCAACCAAACATTGTCTTTACTGCATACGGACCACCATTTTCACTTTTTTGCACCTCTAGTGGCTGCAAAGCATTTGGTACATCCATGCCAATCAGCAAACTCACTACACCATCGTTAATAGTACCGGGTAACGTTATCCCTTCTAAGTGCGGCCATCTTTTGACATCTTCTTGACAAGCCAAAGCTGATGTTGGAATATTCAACATTTTTGTAGAAAATACATTAGGCATCTGAAGGTGCTTTGTTTCCTCAAGATCCATCACTTCCAAACTAACAACTGACGTCTGACAATATGTTTTTGAACCATTGATCGTAGCGACTGACAATTCACACTTTCTTCCAGTCACACCAAGTTTATCCAAGAGGGCTTCACTACAAAATGAGGCAGTAGATCCACTGTCAAGGAGTGCATATGTCTTAAATAATTTGTCACTTCCTGTCCCTTTTACTATTAATGGAACTATTGGTAATCCAATGTTGTCGCCTTCTTGATCGTTACATCGTGTTACTCCAACAAACTTATCATTGTCTGGACTCGAATCTCTTCTGCGAGCTTCGTTATCTGCATATTTTCCGCTTTCATCCTTACGCCGTTTCTCGTATGCCACCACAGAGTCATGTATTCCTGTCAAATGTTTGCGTCGTAGATTACATTCTGGCACTGTACAGGCTTTTCTTTGTTTGCAACCAGCGGAGAAGTGAAATGATGATAGACAATTATCACAGAGCTTCTTTGAACGAATGAAATTAAACTGTTCCTCACCAGATTTCTTCTTGAATTCCACGCAACTTGCCAATTTATGGTTTCTCTCACAGAAATAACATCGCACATCTGGTGAAGTGACATTTGGCTTCTTGTCATAAGTCTGAATACTGTAATTCAAGCTTCGCTGCGGATATGTCGCATTTGATCTTCTGTTCTTGTCATTTCGTGATGACTGTTCCCTGTTAACATTGTCCATGATAGCACCAAAAACGGGGTCGTTCTTTTCCTTTGATATTGTTCTGATCAAGCACCGTACATCTTCAACTGTAGGCTCTCTATGATACGATCTGATCTCCTGGACACGAGATTGCCAACGGGACTTCACAAAGTTTGGACATCGCTCTAGGACTTTCACCAATCGGTCTTCATTGTTTAGCTGTGTCAATCTGCCTGCAGCCTTCAGAGTCATCTCGCAGTTCTCGAGGTCATCTGCTAATTCTTGCAAGCCTTCTCTGTCACCAGGCTTTATCACAGGACCACAGGATACTTTCTTTAACCACGAGTCTGATACAGTATATGCATCACCAAAGCGTTCAGCCAAGATTTGTTTTGCCTTCAAGTATCCATCCCGAGGTTCGAGAAGAATACATCCTTCTATTGCTCTTCTTGCTTTGCCTGTACAAAACTGAACTAAAAGCTGCAACCGTTTGCTAAAATCACAAGTGTCATTCTCAACATTATTCTGAAAAGATCGTATGAAAAGAAAATACTTCAAGGGGTTGCCATCGAACATACTGATTTCAGATTTTGGTAAAAGTGCAGCAACTGCTAATTTCTTCATTGTCTCAAGGTAATCTTCGCCATTTAATGTCGGGTTGGCACATGTTTCATCAGTAAAATCTTGTTGCAGGGGTGACTTCCAAGGTGGAGCATGTGGGTTCAACTGACGTTCTTGTTGGGGATAGCCAAATTCTGAAAATTGTTTAAATGTTTGCTCACCTATGATTCCTGTTTTTGTTGGCTTCCTTTGTACTTGTGAGCCGAATTCCATATTTTGACTTTTTCTTAACTCGCCTCTAATTTGCTGACACGTGTTCTTAGATCCCACGTCTCTTGGTAATTGACCATACGCCTCGTCTTGTGATCCGGTTGCCATGGCGAAACCTGTGTAAACTTTTTCTTCAGCCTCGATTTTTGCAAGTTTCATGTCTAGCGCCAGCCTCTTCTTTCTTTGACTTAATCGTAGTTCTTCATGAGCAATGTTTTGACACTCTTCAAATGTTGACGCCTCTGCAAGCAAGGATGCCTTTGTTACAGCATTCTTCAACATCATATCCTGAAGGGTAGATCTGCTCGATTTCTTTGAGTTCTTAGAACACATTGAAGTGACGCAAGAATGAGAAATAATTTCGCTCACCGAGTCTTCGGGACTGATTTCAGCCTTCAGCATCTCTGTTGATGTAGAAAGGGGTTGTGTTAACAACGATACTCTTTCCTTGATATCATAATATCGTCTTTCAGCTTCGTGTGTGTACGCGAGGCATTCTTCAATATCATCTTCGTCAACCATTACAGCTTTGTATTCTTGACATGCCACTTTGAAATGATCGAAAGTTTCGTTGAGCCTGGCTTCGGCAACTCTCACATCGTCTACGGTTTGTTCAGTAGTCAAGCAATCAGCAACACGATTCAGAACTTTCGTAAGCTCTCGTTTTGCATTGGCTCTCATTTTCTTTAAATGTCGGACATGCTCAGTATCGATACTATCAGCACCACAAAACGCCATTATCTCTTGTTGTCAAATACGAACTGATGTAGCTTCAAAGCAAATCTGCTACTGAGGAGGGCACGAACTAATTAGAAATGAACCCAGTTTCCACTAAGCAAAAACAACGCTGGCGTTCTT